TGGGAGTTGGGTAGCGACCTGATTCATTTGCTTGATGGTCGGCCAAGGAGCGGGGGCAAGCTGGTTGAGGGCAACGTCGGCAATCCTGATGGGAATTGCGACAGCTTCACCGGGACTCGTCTCTTGAGAGGGCGTTGGATCGGCGTGGTGGCGGCTCGTCCATGTACAGGGGATTGTTGAGGAATGGACGAAAGCGACCAGGTTGAGGTGGTCTTGGAGGAGCCACGGGGCGATGCGAGCGAGCCTCGGTCCTTGTGAATTCTTGCGATGGAGACATCACATCGGGTGCTGACTGATATTGGATTGTAGCGCAGCGACAGCGACACAGATAACCGGCGGGTCGGACTTTTCAAGGACGACGATGGGCCATTCAATGACGGTAACGACGGTAGCTTCTGACTTTGAGTTACAGGCATGGGGATTATGCAAATCAATATCGAGGGAACCACCCAAGAGCGAAGGTGCAAGAGGCGAGGAGGGGAGTGGGATAAATACAAAAGAAAATGTGGAGTAATTATAAGTTCTACAGCATTCAACAGCACACATACGGATATCGATACCAAATCGATACTATGTCTTTTCCAGAGAATGATTAGATCCTACCGTAGCGCCGGATGGAAACCTGTTTGTGCGCTAAGAACAAGGTTGACAATTACTGATAGCTTCCGAGGGGGTGTTTTTGCAAATTGGGTCACACAGCTCCTCACAGCTCCTTTGAGGTCAGCGAAGGTGGGTGATAATCATAAATACAGGCACGTACGACAACGTTCGCTCAGGTTCGCCCTTGTTTGCCCTTGTTCTAGTCTTCACCAAGCTTCACCAGGCTTCACCACCGCAACCGTAATTTGTCCTAGAATTGCAATAATAACTTTACAGTGCTTTGCATATTGTTTTGCACAACCAAAATTTCGAAGAACTCCACCAGGGTCTGGATCAGCAGGCCCGGTCATGTGCAAGCAAGTAAAATTAATTGTGGAATTGCAGAGGTAGAATTTGATGGTTCACAGGCAGGAGAAAGTAAAGATCATCAAGGTCTTCTTGTTCACTGTGCCAAACGACGAGCACGAAGTATCCGAGGCTATGAGAAATATCCCGTTTGAACATGCACATGACCCGGCACCTTATTGCCGAGAGGGCGCTGCGCATGGTTTGGGGTAACCAAGACTAACTTGAATATTCCCCGCGCTCTTTGTCTCAAACAGCGCGAGACCTCAAAATCATTCGCCGGATGCGTGTGTTCTCGATGACAAGTTGCCGTATTGTCAAGCATCATCACTTGAACCAAAAAGGGGGATCTTGAAGAAGGCTTGTGGATCCTTGTGGACATCCAAAGTTGAGATTGGACCTCGTCTATTAGACACCTCGGAGCGAGAGCAAAATGACATGAACAAGATCTTTAGCAAATCTTTAGAGTTTGAAAACCGAAGGAGAAAGAGCTGGCATAGGCTAGCATTCGATGCGAGTCCCCAGGAGGCAATAGAGCGCAGGATCCCCTAGGCCTAGCTAACGATTGGGACTAGGCATGATCATCGTAATAAAGAATATATCGACCTTGGTGACGGTCGACAGAGCCTTATAGAACATGCGTGACGAACCTAGCATAGAAGAAAGTAGAGATGAGTGACTCTTCCGCTGACGGTGAAGCGATGTTGAGATTAGACTTCTTTTCTGGACACCATCGGTATGGAAAACAAGAAAAATTCCCGAAGGACGTCCTGACGGCGGGCCGGTTGTTTTCAAATCAATGATTCATCAACGGAGCAGAAACTTTGAGTATACATGTTGAGTCAGCCTAGCATACGAAGCACAGGACACCCCGGCCTGGCTGGTGGTCAAGCAAGGTTGAAACCCAGTCGGAACCACTGTGTTGTCATTGAGGAGAAACACCCCTTTAGCTGATTTGGCTGAAGGCTAAGAAGCCTGTTGTACTGGCCAACGGCTTTGATGGTAGGAGTATTGTGCGAAGGGGGAACCCACTCGCGAAGCCACTTTTGATCAGTCTGGGTCTTGCAAGTTTATCCCAGGCTTCGTCTGAAATGGCGACGATAAGGTGACGACAATAAACAAGACTTGGTTGGCATGAAACACACCGTGATTTTCAAGTTCAAGAAGGAACCAATGTGCTCTTCGAACGGCCGGTCTTTACCGCCCTTCCCCAACGATACGTTGAAGCCAAATATCGGGCACGACAGTACTGAGTTTAGCTCTTCTTACAGAGCCACTCCCTGAGGCTCCGCGAACAGTAGAATCAGGCAATCCCCGCACAACAAGAAGACCCGCCGGTTGTCGAACGCCGAAATTGTGGTATACGCTGTCCCATCCCGCGACCTGCTGAATTATCGGAGTGCTTGGTAGCGTTACAGCGCAACCAAATGGCGAGCTTTTCATCGTTGAGCAGAGTCTTATCCCATGCCTAAACATTCGTGAGAGGTGAGATGATCTAAGAGTCCGAGCATGATGTAAGATACGCACATATGGTAAGATCGAGGAGAGTTTCGAGGGATTGGATAAGGAGAAATTTGGACGAAGCCATCATGATGGCAGTTGAAACTTCGCCGTCATGACGGACCTTTTCGCCGTGGACCTCTTCAGGCGGTATGTTCGGGAGGTAGAAGTCGGCCGCTTGAATATTGACTGGATGTCGCCGTTGCACACTGTGCCAGTGCTGTCAACCTCCACGACTTCCACTTCTTGTCCACCTCACTTTTCTTCCCATATATTCTGGCTTCTCATAAACTCGCGCTCCGTCGCTCTTCGTACCTTCCAGGCACTGGGGAAGTTGAGAGTTTGAAAGGCCAGTGCACATTGGAGGGAAGGCGGAGCTGTTCGTTCAACTTGAGAACACTCTACGTGCCACTCTGGCAGCGAAATGACGGTTGATGCACTGCCTCGTGGGCATGCTGAGCGCTGCAGCGCTGAAGGCGCGTCCAATAACTCTTTCCTTCAATCGTCCATCTTGCTAATATTCCAATAGGCTCTGGTTGGAAACAGATATGTCTACTTCACCCAGTGATCATGATCGTACGTCCAGGACCACTCCCTGTTTAGACGGCAAAGGGGGTACAGATTCAGCAGCAACGGTAGGAAAGTCAACGGGTCCTAGCTATGGTGCGCCTTATCCCGAAAACTCTACTGCTGGCTTAAATTGCCTCATTTACTTGTGCTGCGTGCAGTATATTACCATCTATACACCAAACTTGGTGCATTTGAATCAACTCAACCCCTCTACCACAACGACCGCTTCATTGGCCGCATTCCGTCAAAATCTGTTACCCCTCCTCGTACAGTGGCGTCTCTCAAGCGGTGTCTGTGCAAACTTGAGGGCCTCTCAGAGCCCGACAAGGCGCTTGTCTACACACCGCTCTCAAGCCCAGCACCCATAGAAGACTCTGCCCGCCTCTCTTTCCACGCTCCTTCTGGGCCAGGGCTGTCCGAACAAGATCCGATTGCGTTGGTTGTCGAGTCGGAGAAGAGGATCAAGGAGGTCACACAGTCGGACAAGCTGCCGGAACGCTCTGATGATACTGATATCCACTACGGTAAATTCTGTCGACGTCTCCTACCCAAATAGTGCTCTTACTGGCTTTGCAGTGTACTATCGTGTCTATTCATCAGAGGGAGATGAAAAGGCAAAGACGTCCTTTGACGAAACTGACAGCTCGTTAGGGCGCATTAACAGCCTCTTCGTCACTCCCCCTCACAACGTTGGGTCTTTGAAAGCATGCATCGCAAAATTTGAAGGCATCGTCGATGCCCTTTACCAGGACATGGAACTCTTTGAGGACGTGGATAGTGACGCCGCCATGAGCGACTCCGATGTCATATCCTTCCAAGGTGACACTCATCCGGGTAGTGATGAAGGCAATCCCGTAGCCCTTGTCAATGCAGCCGCCAATACAGCAGCGCCTACACCAGGTAAAGTTTTCAGTGAATATCCACTGGACATTGCGGCAACAAAGTGTGCTCTTTTAGATAGACCAGAGCCAAAATTCACGAAAAGAGCTCGGTCAAAGTATACTTACGGTGAGTAACCGTTCCTGAGATAATCCGATTCTCATCGTATAGCATCTCACAGTATATAAAGCGCACAATCCCATCTGGCTATCGATAGAGAGAGATGAGATCTTTTACACGGATGGAGTTATCCTCTCCATGGAGAGCTCCATTCTTAAAAGTATATCTTTCCTTTTCTGCTATTTGGCTGGTTCGTTAACCATTTGTCCGGACAGCTTCTTTCCCAGGATACATGGCGATCAATTCAAAGGGTGAAAAAGGCTGTGAGTCTCCAATTTGCCCTTGGGTTACTGGGTGGTTATTGATCTTCTTTGGCAGTTGTGTGTCAGGGTGAGTGGTCTCCTCCCCTTGTTGGAGTATTTGATATCCACCGTTCACTAGGCGATGTTACTATTATTTGATTTTAGAGCGTTCTTCCTTGAAGCTCGGATCCTGTCTGATCGAGTGCCCGCTCGTTCTAGTCCCACGACCTTCTCTTGCCTCTCTCGCACCTCTTTTCCCCTTCGCTTAACCGCCTCCTCACGCTGCCCCAGAGCCTTCTCACGATACCCAGCTGCCCTCTACACCTCCCTAACCCTCTCATTCATTCCCTCGATCCTCCCTGTCTAGCTGCCGACCGAAGTTCCCTTTGGCCTAGCGCTTCTTCGCGGGGGCTGTGAATGCTACCCGGAGGGCAGTTAGGTTCAATGTTTGCGTTCAAGGCGTACGGTTGATTGAAAGGGTGGTTGTTTGGAGCGAAGGAGGGGAGGGAGGCGTTGTCGTACCCAGTTCTTGGACTTGTTCTGTTCGTCAGGTTCACGATGTCGAGGTGGGCCAAGGTCGAATATGGTCCATAAATTTGGTTTCCTGTCTCTTTCGTCTTCCATTTTCTTCTCGTTTGGTTTCTCTCTCGCCTTTCGTGCTTTGAGCTTTCCCTTTCCCTTCTATGACTTCTTCGGGCATTGCTTCGGCTTTCCCTTTCCCTTCTTCTTTCTCCTTTCCTTTGTCGTCGTCAACAGTGTGTAAATAGTAAGCGAATTCGGCGACCCTATTAATATTATACTGGGGCCCGTGTAACGCTCTTTGTTGCTCGGATAGAATTCGAGCGTGCACCGGAATCGATAACGGAGGTTTGGGAGTTTGTGCAAGTATTCAGGAAGTTACAGTACCAATACAGTACATAATATGTCGCCGTTGCACACGGTGCTCTCCCTCTTCCACGACTTTCACTTCTCAATAATCACTCTATTCCTCCCAGCGCAGCACCAGGACTGTATCATCGACCTTTATTTCCCCATTTCCCCATGTATTCGTGGCTTCTCATGAGCTCGCGCTCCGACGCTCTTCGTACCCTTCTAGGCTCTGGAAAGTTGAGAGTTTCAGAGGCCAGTGCATGCGCACGCTGGATGGAGGGGAGGCGGAGCTACTCGTTCAACTTTCCGAGAACACCAGCGAGGTGACGCTTGATGCACTGCCTCGTGAATGGGTGCATGAAGGCGCGTCTGATAACTCTTTCCTTCAATCGTCCATCTTGCTAATATTTCAACAGGCTCTGGTTGGAAACAGCGATGTCTACTTCGCCTGGTCATGATCATACGTCCACCTCTTTAGACGGCAAAGGGGGTACAGATTCAGCAGCAAAGGTAGGAAAGTCAACGGGTCCTAGCTATGGTGCGCCCTATCCCGAAAACTCTACTCCTGGCTCCAATGATCTAATTTACTTGCGCAGTATATTACCGCCTATACACGAAACTCGGTGCATTTGAATCGAATCAACCCCTCTACCACAACGACCGCTTCATTGGCCGCATTCCCTTAAAATCCGTTGCCCCTCCTCGTACAGTGGCGTCTCTCAAGCGGTGTCTGTGCAAACTTGAGGGCCTCTCAGAGCCCGACAAGGCGCTTGTCTTCACACCTCTCTCAAGCCCGGCACCCAAAGAAGACTCTGCCCGCCTCTCTTTTCACGCTCCTTCTGGGCCAGGGCTGTCCGAACAAGATCCGATCGCGTTGGTTGTCGAGTCGGAGAAGAGGATCGAGGAGATCACACAGTCGGACAAGCTGCCGGAACGCTCTGATGATACTGATATCCACTACGGTAAGTCTTGTCGACGTCTCCCACCGAAATAGTGCACTTATTGCCAGTGAATTTGCAGTGTACTATCGTGTCTATTCATCAGAGGGAGATGAAAAGGCAAAGACGTCCTTTGACGAAACTGACAGCTCGTTAGGGCGCATTAACAGCCTCTCCGTCGCTCCCCCTCACAACGCTGGGTCTTTGAAAGCATGCATCGCGAAATTTGAAGGCCTGGTCAATGCACTCTATATGGAACTCTTCCAAGACGTGGATAGTGACGCTGCCATGGGCGACACCGATGTTATATCCTTCCAAGGTGACACTTATCCAGGTAGCAATCAAGGCAATCCCGTAGCTGCAATCGCAGCATTCACGAAGCGCGCTCGGTTACTTTTTACTTGCAGTGAGTAATAGTTTCCGAGATAATCCAATTCTCATCCTATAGTATTCCACCGAAGGCTACAAACAGAACAAACCCACCTGGCTATCAATCAACAAAGATGAGATTATTCACACGGATGGAGTTATCGTCTCTGTGAGGAGCCCCTCTACCAACCGTATTTCTTTCCTTCTCTGCATCGTCACCAGGATGTTGACATTTTGTTTGAACAGAGTTTTGTCTAGGATACATGGTGATTAATTCCAAGGATGAAAAAGGCTGTGAGTCTCCAATTTGCCTTTGGGTTGCTGGGTGGTTGTTGATCTTCTTTTGCAGTTGTGCCAGAGGGTGAGTGATCTCCGGCCCCTGTCAGAGTATTTGATATCCACCCTTTGCCAGGTTGTGTTGATTTGATTATGTCTGTCAGGACTTAGGCTCAGAAGGGGTCGATGTATGTACTGGTACCGTAGATCTGTCAATATGTAAACGAAGAACAAATCATGAAAAACGAAGCAGACATGCAATTGCCGATTGTCAAAGCTTTCAAAAGAGATTCAAGTGAACCGATACATAAGGTATGAGTAATTATATGAATGCATACGGGTGCGTTCAATTCCTCGTCAGCGTCAGTCAAAAAGACATCATAAAAAAAGTCATAAAAGTCATAAACGTGGAAAAAGTACCTCCCACCGAGGCCCAAAATCAACCATTCTCAAGGTCAACACTACCTCCTGCTCCTCCTTGCCAACGAACTCCACATCCAAGCCCCAGTCAACCTCCTCACAAGCACCTTCAACACAACAGGGCACACGCCATTGCCAACTAGGACGAGGTAACTTCCCCATCCACCTGTTGAGAGGTATAGATTGCGTCGGGTTTCCAAGTCGCGTTGGGGTCTCCTCTGGGGGAGGGCTTAAGGAGGAGGGGAGGGGGTAGTAGGGAAGAATTTGGGCTGGAGGTTAGACGAGGAGGGAGGGCAAGGACTTCCTGTTACCCAACACACGAGAGACGATAGACCGAAGAAGAGTAATGGGCCATGAATTTAAAACAAGTGCCGAAATGGACAAGTTGAGACCACCAACTTGACGGGAATGCATTTCCATTTCTTTCTCGAGTTCTTTAACCCACTTTGAGTGTTCTTCAAACTCGGAGCCTCTCCGATCGAGTGGGAATCTAGAAGTAGGTCACCAGCCTTCCCGTGGTTACGGTATACCGCAAGTCATGTAAGGTGAGGTGTGAGGTTGGTGAGGCGTGATGTTGCTGGGTGGTGTCGTTCGCGCAGTTGGACCAGATCATGGGATCCAGGAAGCCGGAGTTCTACAGCAGTGCGTCGGTATGGTAGTAACAGTTATTATGAGTTTGCAAGAAGCAAGAGTGTTTCGGAAACACCGAGTAGGAATTGCCATGGAGAGGCTGCAGCCTTTATTCGAAAGATCTCAGTGAAGTGAACAAGACATGACGGATAAAGTTAAAGCCGGACGTACCTTCATTCGAGGAGTGCTTCAACTCAGAGCGTCATGACGGCAGCAGCAAACGACTGCATGAACAGTACAAAAGGCAATGAGGTCGACGAACTTGTGGTGGTTGAGATCAAGAAATTTTTGGCGAAAACTCGTATCACGGGAAGTATTTGTGAGTGTCGCATTGTATTTCCACCTGACTGGTGGAACTGACATCCTCAGACAAGAACGTTCAAAGAAGGCAACGCCTCATGCTGCCGACTCCATCTTTGGCGGCTCTTTAGCCTACGTCGCCACTGCCCCATCACGCCCAACTCAACGAACACTCTCCCTCAACGCATATCTCGTGTTTTCGATCGGAACAATGCATTTCCATGACAGTGACCACCAAGGAGTTAACCCCACCCCACGGAATGAACCTGCTCCATCGCACTGGGCTGGTCCAACCTCAGCCTGTTCTTCCACTCTGCTGGACTGCTCTTCGCCGTCTAGAGGTCGGTTGCTGATGCGATGCTAGCTAGAATATATTGTCTTCTCCACAACAGTAGAGAAACCTCTCTAGGAGGACGACGACGACGCGAGAGGCGGACATGCTCTCACATCATTGAGAGGAGGCTTAAAGCACGCATTCGGAGCTGGTGAAAGTCGACGAAAGGACACCTGAGAAAGCAAGCGGGTTTGCAGATGCATTCGGCCCGACATTCACCCTCGTCGAAGATTCGTTGTCCACGATATCTGCTCGTGGACATCGAACAAGACGAGAGTTTGCACCCATCTTTCATCCAACTTCATCTCGGAAGGTGGGCGAATGTCGGTGTGCAAGAGAACACGCTCCGACTTGGAAAAGGAGCAAATATGTAGGGTCATCTGCATGAACAGTCGTTGGATACCCCCGTTATAGAGAAGCATATGAACTCACTTGACATTCATTGTCAGGCGAACCAAGGGGCCCAAGCTGATCCACCGTGCAATTCGACACTTGACACGCGGAGCCAAAAATGCCGTGAACTGCTACCAGAAAGACTGTCAACCGAGGCTCCTGCATCCAGCATGCACATCCCGCACCTTCATCTCCAGAAAATTCTTGAAAGATGTTCGTTGGTGTACGAACTCAGGGAAGATGCGGGGTGCTGTAAAGTACTTAGCACTAGGCGCCTTCGGCGCCAGCAGATTTCATCCCCTTGTCGTGAACTTTGTAAGTGCCATACAGAGCCAGGCAAAAAAGTCGAGCCCACTCACCGAAAGGGATGAACATTTGAACCGCCATCTCTGGATACTGAGGAACGAGATGAGGAGAATAGCCCAAGCAGGCACGTGCTGAAGGTATATAAAAATAGACCAAAACACCCGTTCACCTCGTGGGATGGGGGTCTCTTGGCCTCTGGGCACTCTCCTTTCCTTCCTTCCCTCATCCTGAATCTCTCCACCTTCGGCATTTCAACATGATCGGAGCAAGTGTTCTTGCCAGTGCTCACCACTTTGTTGCTAGTAATGGTGTTGCACAATCCTTGGTAAGTGTGATGACCAGTGACATGCCGTGACATAGCGTCACAGGGCCAATTTCTTGAGACATGGACTTTGTACCTTCCACAACACCAATTCAATATATTTTTTGCACTGGGTTTGAGGGAATGATGTGATTGAATCCACTGAGAGAGTTTTCCATGTAGAAAATTTATTTATTGCTCCAAAAATGCGAAATCAGCTTGTTTTCCCTGCCAAATTTGGCACTCTGGAGAGATTGGACTATAGCTTTCCAACCACAACACGTATGAGCATGGTTTGTAGGAGGATATTACTTAGAATTTGAATTCTAATCGATCTACGGATTCAGAATTTTTATTTGTGGCCCCTATGTCGAGATCACCCCTAAGAATGGGCACTTTAACATAGTTATGAGGTAGTAATTAAAATTCTGGACCTGTAGGATTGAAGCCACATATTAATCGGTTATTTAGTCTCTGCAATTCTAAGCCAAAATCCTATCCATTGTGAAGCTGATAGCTCGAGTAGGCAACATTGGGCTAATAGGTGCTGCATAGCCACCAAAATCAGACACATTGTAGATTTTTATACATTTGAATAGAGAATATCTATGCAATTCTGGCGCATTTTTTTTCTTGTAAATCGGTGGAGAATTGACTGAGCTACATCATTTACAAGTTTGGGCCATCTATAAGCAGTGGCCAAAAC